CGAATCGTGAAAAATTTTTATTCGAGTCGAATAATATTCGCTGTGCAATTTAACTTAAAAATATAGGGTGTTTTCTAGGCTTCAGAGAGCCTTTATATTAGTGGCAGAACACTGTACCTTTAATTTAAATGCCCTTGGAGTCTGCTGGGGAAGAGAAATAATATACTGTTCAGTCAGTAATGACATGCAGATAGTGCCGTCGATCTTAGAATCACCGCTACACTTCACTCATAGTGGGCAGTCACTGGGTCCAAAACCAGAGTTGTGCGTGAGCCACAGTGTGGCGGTGGAGGCAGCAGCAATGGGAGGCCATACAGCACCCAATGACAAAATGGAAACCCACCAGCAGTGTGAGGAGACCTGAAAGTGGCACATGGCAGAGTGTGGCGATAGAGACAGCAGCAATGGGAGGCCGTACAGGGGACCCATAGACACACTCTGGACCTGGCAGCAGCATGAGGAGGCGGTACAGGGGCCCATGACAGATTACGGGCCTGGCAGCAGCATGAGGAGTCGGAACGGGGGCCCATGGCAGATTACGGCCTGGCAAGCAGCAATGGGAGGCCGTACAGGGACCCATGACACACTCTGGACCTGGCAGCAGCATGAGGAGGCGGTACAGGGCCCATGACAGATTACGGGCCTGGCAGCAGCATGAGGAGTCGGTACGGGGGCCCATGACACACTCTGGACCTGGCAGCAGCATGAGGAGGCGGTACGGGTGCGTGCTCGCAAACTGTTGTCTCTTGGAAACGGATTCCAAGAAAGACTGCTGACGGAATCCGTGAAGAGGAGTAGCAGGAGAAGGAGCATCTGAACGAGCGGAATATGCCAACAAGCGACAACAGGGGCCCATGACAGATTACGGGCCTGGCAGCAGCATGAGGAGTCGGTACGGGGGCCCATGGCAGATTACGGGCCTGGCAGCAGCAATGGGAGGCCCGTAATCTGCCAGCACCCTATGACAAAAAATGGAACACACCAGCAGTGTGTGAGGAGACCTGAAAGTGGCACATGGCAGAGTGTGGCGATGGAGACAGCAGCAATGGGAGGCCGTACAGGGACCCATGAGAGACTCTGGACCTGGCAGCAGCATGAGGAGGCGGTACAGGGGCCCATGGCAGATTAGGGGCCTGGCAGCAGCAATGGAGGCCCGTAATCTGCCAGCACCCTATGACAAAAAATGGAACACACCAGCAGTGTGAGGAGACCTGAAAGTGGCACATGGCAGAGTGTGGCGATGGAGACAGCAGCAATGGGAGGCCGTACAGGACCCATGAGAGACTCTGGACCTGGCAGCAGCATATGAGGAGGCGGTACTGGGGCCCATGGCAGATTACGGAGGCCTGGCAGCAGCAATGGGAGGCCCGTAATCTGCCAGCACCCTATGACAAAAAATGGAACACACCAGCAGTGTGAGGAGACCTGAAAGTGGCACATGGCAGAGTGTGGCGATGGAGACAGCAGCAATGGGAGGCCGTACAGGGACCCATGAGAGACTCTGGACCTGGCAGCAGCATGAGGAGGCGGTACAGGGGCCCATGGCAGATTACGGGCCTGGCAGCAGCAATGGGAGGCCCGTAATCTGCCAGCAGCACCCTATGACAAAAAATGGAACACACCAGCAGTGTGTGAGGAGACCTGAAAGTGGCACATGGCAGAGTGTGGCGATGGAGACAGCAGCAATGGGAGGCCGTACAGGGACCCATGAGAGACTCTGGACCTGGCAGCAGCATGAGGAGGCGGTACAGGGGCCCATGGCAGATTAGGGGGCCTGGCAGCAGCTATGGGAGGCCCGTAATCTGCCAGCACCCTATGACAAAAAATGGAACACACACCAGCAGTGTGAGGAGACCTGAAAGTGGCACATGGCAGAGTGTGGCGATGGAGACAGCAGCAATGGGAGGCCGTACAGGGACCCATGAGAGACTCTGGACCTGGCAGCAGCATGAGGAGGCGGTACAGGGGCCCATGGCAGATTACGGGCCTGGCAGCAGCAATGGGAGGCCCGTAATCTGCCAGCACCCTATGAGAAAAAAATGGAACACACCAGCAGTGTGAGGAGACCTGAAAGTGGCACATGGCAGAGTGTGCGATGGAGACAGCAGCAATGGGGAGGCCGTACAGGGACCCATGAGAGACTCTGGACCTGGCAGCAGCATGAGGAGGCGGTACAGGGGCCCATGGCAGATTACGGGCCTGGCAGCAGCAATGGGAGGCCCGTAATCTGCCAGCACCCTATGACAAAAAAATGGAACACACCAGCAGTGTGTGTGAGGAGACCTGAAAGTGGCACATGGCAGAGTGTGGCGATGGAGACAGCAGCAATGGGAGGGGCCGTACAGCTGACCCAATGAGACACTCTGGACCTGGCAGCAGCATGAGGAGGCGGTACAGGGGCCCATGGCAGATTACGGGCCTGGCAGCAGCAATGGGAGGCCCGTAATCTGCCAGCAACCCTATGGGAAAAATGGAAACACCCTCAGATGGCTGTGACTGTGGACGTAAATAGACCTGAAAGTGGCACATGGCCAGAGTGTGGCTGCAGTGGAGACTGGGCTAATCCGGGAGTTTGCCTACACTGACCCTGCAACCTGGGGCAGCAGCAATGGGAGGTCCGTACAGGGACCCATGACAGACTCTGGACCTGGCAGCAGCATGAAGGAGGCGGTACAGGGGCCCATGGCAGATTACGGGCCTGGCAGCAGCAATGGAGAGGCCCGTAATCTGCCAGCACCCTATGACAAAAAGTCGTGCGAAGACAGTCCAGCAATGTGAGGAGACCTGAAAGTGGACCATGCATGAGACACTGTGGACCTGGCAGCAGCATGAGGAGGCGGTACAGGGGCCCATGGCAGATTACGGGCCTGGCAGCAGCAATGGGAGCCCGTAATCTGCCAGCACCCTATGACAAAAAAATGGAACACACCAGCAGTGTGTGAGGAGACCTGAAAGTGGCACATGGCAGAGTGTGGCGATGGAGACAGCAGCAATGGAGGAGGCCGTACAGGGACCCATGAGAGACTCTGGACCTGGCAGCAGCATGAGGAGAGGCGGTACAGGGGCCCATGGCAGATTAGCGGGCCTGGCAGCAGCAATGGGAGGCCCGTAATCTGCCAGCACCCTTGTGACAAAAAATGGAACACACCAGCAGTGTGAGGAGACCTGAAAGTGGCACATGGCATGAGACACTGTGGACCTGGCAGCAGCATGAGGAGGCGGTATAGGGGCCCATGGCAGATTAGGGGCCTGGCAGCAGCTATGGGAGGCCGTAATCTGCCCAGCACCCTATGACAAAAAATGGAACACACCAGCAGTGTGTGAGGAGACCTGAAAGTGGCACATGGCAGAGTGTGGCGATGGAGACAGCAGCAATGGGAGGCCGTACAGGGACCCATGAGAGACTCTGGACCTGGCAGCAGCATGAGGAGGCGGTATAGGGGCCCATGGCAGATTAGGGGCCTGGCAGCAGCAATGGGAGGCCCGTAATCTGCCAGCACCCTATGACAAAAAAATGGAACACACCAGCAGTGTGAGGAGACCTGAAAGTGGCACATGTTTGGGGCATGATTCATGGCGGATTTAGTCAGTTGTGTCAGGAACTGGTGGTTTGAAATCCAGACTAATCCACGCCTGATTCATTTTCACAAACGTGAGTCTCTCCACACTTTGGGTGGACAGTCGTGTCCTCCGCGGAGTTACAATACCTCCTGCCGCACTAAACACACGCGCTCCGATGCCACGCTACTGGCCGGGCATGACAGCCTTTCAAGGGCAAATTCAGCTAGTTGGGGCCAAAGGTCAAGTTTCGTTGCCCAGTAGTCAAGGGGATTGTCTACCTCGGTTGGCAGGGTGCTGTCCAAGTAGGCCTAAGCCTGTTGTTTGAGGTCCTGCTCCAGGTCCACCTGATGCTGCTGCTGCTGCTGCGGCTGGTTAGTAGTTTCCTCACTGCGCTGGTGAAGAAAGCTACTCATCATCGACTGCAGACTGAGGCAGCCGCTGCTGGTGGAGCTGCCACTGCTCCTACCACCCCACCCCTCCCCTGCTGCCATGGCAGCGGAACGCGAGCGCACAGGGCCCACAGTGTCTGAGGATGGACGTTGGCGCAGAAAGGCAGAGACCAGCTGACTACATAGGTGGTTTTTTATAGTACGTTATTTTGGCCTCCCTCTCAGCAGGTGTGAAAAAGGCCACCATTTTTGAACGGTAGCGAGGGTCCAACAAGGTGGACAGCCAAAAGTCATCCCTCTGTCTGATGGTTATTATTCGGCTGTCGCTACGCAAGCAAGCGAGCATGCTATGGGCCATTTGTGCCAAGGAATGCGAGGGACTCCCTGCCTCCATCTCCACAGCATACTGCCACGGTGCGTCTGGGTCCTCTGTCTCCTCCTCCTCCTCCTCTACCAGATGCTCCTGCTCCTCCACTCCTGTCCGCTGAGTGGAAAAACCACCCATTTCACTCAATAATTCCTGAGCACCAATGTCCTCCTCTACTCCTCCTCCTCTTCTTCCTGTCCTGCCCCCACAGGGGTCATGTGGCGTTGAGATCTGTGCGCCACGTCTACCGCACCCTGACCAGCCATTGTTAACAGCATTTGTTCCAGGACGTGCAACAGAGGAATGACGTCGTTCATCCCATAGTCCCTGCCGACTCACGAATAGCGTGGCCTCCTCAAAGGGCCTGAGCAAGCGCAGGTGTCACGCATGAGCTGCCAATGGCTGACATCTAAGTTACACAGGGAGTACCTTTATCCGCTTGTAACATCAGGAAATCTGTGATGGCCTTTCGCTGTTCGTAAAAGGCGGTCTAACATATGTAGGGTTGAAATTCCACCTTGTTGCAACGTCACAGCATGAGGAGTCGGTACGGGGCCCATGGCAGATTAGGGGGGCCTGGCAGCAGCAATGGGAGGCCCGTAATCTGCCAGCACCCTATGACAAAAAATGTAACACACCAGCAGTGTGAGGAGATCTGAAAGTGGCACATGGGGCCAGCAAACCTATCAAAAAAATGAACACACCACATGTGAGGGGACCCGAAAGTGGCACAATGGGATGAGACCTGGGACCCCGGGCAGCACATGAGGAGCGGGAAGGGGCCCATGGCAGATTAGGGGCCTGCAGCAGCTATGGGGGGCCCGTATCGCCGCACCCATGACAAAAAAAAGGAACACACCAGCAGTGAGGAACCTGAAATGGGGCAATTGGCATGGGCGAACTGGGGGGGACCCTGGACCCCCTTGGGGGAGCTAAAACGGAAGGGGCCCATGGCAATTAGGGCCTGGCAGCACTATGGGGGA